AGCCGTCGATGATGACGACATAAGTTGAAGAAACCTTGGTTAGTGTTCCACATCTAGCTTTACCAAATCTTAAAGATTTCTCAGCATTGAATAAGCGCTATATGGTTACGAAGTCCTACAGATTTCTTGGTATTAGATAAACATTATACGGTTATAGAGTTCTAAAGATTTCTAAGTGTTAAATAAACCTTATACAGTTACGAAGTCCTAAAGATTTATAGACATTAAATAAACATCATACGGTTATGGAGTCCTAAAGATTTCTGGGCATTAGATAAATGTCATGGTTATGGAGTCTTAAAAATTTCTAGATATTAGATTAGCGCCATACGATAAAGTTTTAAAGATTTATAAGCATTAAACAAATAGTCTCTTCGTTCACTCCTAGTAACTTCTCTCAAACAAAAAAAAAAAAGAAAAAGAAAAAATCCCCTGCGTCATCTCCCCGAGGTGACTCGGGGGCGATACCCGCCGCCACTGAACTCGGCCATCGCCGGCCAGCTCCCCCGGCCGCTGTTGCTGCTCGCCAATGAGTGGCGGTGGCGGCGCTCAACAAGGCCGCATCCGCAGCACCTCCCTTCCCCACCATCCCTCATCTTCCTCAAGTTCTTTTCTGCCCCATGGCAGTCAGGATTACCGACAACGATCCGAATCCGCACACTCCGGGGGTAGATCCGGTGCCCACACTCATGGACGAGGCCCGCGAGCTCGACTTGGCACGAAGGAGAAGAAGGCGTCGCTGCCGCGAGCAGATCCGTGTGGCCAAGTTTGGAGGACTGGTATGTCATGTCACGTGGCTAGACACTACATAGGAGTGAGCCAGCGCTATCAAGAAGAAAAAAGGAGAAATGTAGCAATGGGAATATTAGTCTGGTACTTGTACACGTGATCCCGAACGAGACATGGGTACGTTGGCCTAGAATAGGACTTTATTCATATTGGGGGCATGATGAGTAATAATTGAAACCGCTTTTCCCAATTCTGTTTAAGCACACCCTACCCAGCCCAAGTTGTTGTGGTTTGTATGCGGCACGCACACTCTGCAAAAAGAAGAAAAAGGGGAAATGTAGCAATCACAATATTAGTCTGGTACTTGCACATGTGATCCCGAATAAGACGTCAGTGCGTTGGCCTAGAATTGGACTTTGTTCATATGGGGGGCTTGATGAGTAATAACTGAAACCACTTTCCCAATTCTGTTTCTCCTATTTTTCCTCTCTACTTCTTCCATCTTTATCTCTATCTTTCTCTTCTAAGTTTTTCCCCAAATATATAGATATATCCCCGTTGCATCATTGGATCGAGAGGAACATGAGAATTGGTATCAGTTCCACGTTCTTCGTGCAAGTGATTCCTTCGTTACCCTCTCATCCTTGAGTGGAGATCGTTGTTAGTTGGTGTTGTCGGGGCCAGACTGCACGATGACATAATTGTCAGGGACCGGTTCGTCAGTGCCTCCGCTACCTCCAGCTAGAGCCCCTGAGATCGGTGGAGGATGTCGACCATGGACAGCGTCTAGTAGGTGTGGACGAGGCTTTTGAGCTCGACTTGGCACGAAGGAGAAGAAGGCGCGGCTGCCGTGAGAAGATCCACGTGGTCTCAGGTAACTGAACGCTAATGAACCTACCTAATACAAACCTAGTAACATACATCGACCATCGAAATCGAGGTTTCACCTCCGGTGCCAGGCCACCAGGGGCAAGGAGAACTATCGAGATCGATGTCGGAAAGCGAGTCACCCTCGGTTCGCCCTAATTTATTGTAGCAAGGAGAAACGGGACGAGGCCCCATGATGTAGGAAATATTTTTTCTTTTAGGATATTTAAAGTGTTTGGCACACTATAAGCTATTTGTCACAAATAAATGTGTACCACATATATGGTAGTACGTGGATAATGTATGCCCGAATAGTGCTTAGAGGTTATTAATTAGCAAAATGCTAGGATTTTTCAGTCAGGAACTCGCGATGCGTGTCGCACTACCCAAAACTAGAGTTTGAGGATCTTGAGTTTGGGTACCACTAGTACTCCTATAGTATCAAAATGCACTAATAATCGTGACCCCTTCTACAATGACGATGTATTTACAAATGCTTACATACTTGTGTATGCAAATATGGTCACTAACCATTACAAAGAATGTGACAACGACAACTTCATAGCCGTCGATGATGACGGCATAAGTTGAAGAAACCTTGGTTAGTGTTCCACATCTAGCTTTAGGAAATCTTGAAGATTTCTCGGCATTAAATAAACGCTATATGGTTACTAAGTCCTAAAGATTTCTTGGTATTAGATAAATGTCATACAGTTATAGAGTTCTAAAGATTTCTAAGTATTAAATAAACCTTATACGGTTACGAAGTCCTAAAGATTTCTAGACATTAAATAAATATCATACGGTTATGGAGTCCTAAAGATTTCTGGGCATTAGATAAATGTCACGGTTATGGAGTCTTAAAGATTTCTAGATATTAGATTAGCACCACACGACAAAGTTTTGAAGATTTATAAGCATTAAACTAATAATCTCTTCATTCCCTCTCGGTAACTTCTCTCCCAAACAGAAAAAGAAAAAATCCCGCCACGTCATCTCCCTGAGGAGGCTAGGGGGCAATACCCACCACCGCCAAACTCGTTCACCGCCGGCCAGCTCCCCCGGCCGCCATTGCTGCTCGCCGATGAGTGGCGGCAGCGGCGCTCAACAAGGCAGCCTCCGCAGCACCTCCCTTCCCCACCATCCCTTATCTTCCTCAAGTTCTTCTCTGCTCCCATGGCAGTCAGGATGACCGACAACGAGCCGAATCCGCACGCTCTGGGGGTAGATCTGGTGCCCACACTCATGGATCTACTGGCCCTCGTCCGCGGGAGGGCAGCGAGCTGGCGGGCTTCTGGCAGGACCTCACCAGCCGGCGGTGAGCAAGGTGGACGGCGAGGAGCCAGATCCGTGACTCCTGGGTCCAGATCCGGCGATCCTAGGCTTGGATCTGGTTGCTTTTCGACCCGGCGAGCGGCAGGCGATTTTGGCTTTTCTAGATACATTATTTTTACTATGTTTCTAAATATAGTATATATCTAAATGCATTTCAAAAGTTATGTATTTAAAAAAACAAAATATCTTATAATTTAGAATGGAGGGGGTAATATAGGAAGAAATCACTTCAAACATGTGATGTTTCTTACGAGCCTTTTGGAAATTCACTCGGTAGACGTGCAATTATAGGTTCTGTGGACTGTGGGTATCAATGAAAGGGGATGGTTGATCTATTTCTCCTAGATAACTCTCTAGTCTCACCAACCGAGAAGTAAATGTATCACACACACATGCAGCTGTTGTGAAATAACACCAAACTTATGTGATATCACTTGTTATTGGACTCTACCCCTATATCTCACATGCTAGGATTACGAAAAGAGAAAGTAATAACTGAAAATCAATCCAAATAGCTTATTGGGTGTACATTCTTTTCTTTCAACAATGACTCCTAAAGTCAGAGGTTGGTACATGATCACAGCAAAAGTGACGTGCCTTTCTCTACACTTGCTATATATGGCTCCGAGTAGAGATGGAAACGGGCTCCAATCCCCAACCGGGAATTCATCCATTAGGGATCGAATCATGGTAAATTTCATCCCTGCAGGAAGCTTAACGGGCCAAAAGGCCGCCCAGTTGGGTGAAGCGGGGGTCGGAGCATTCTCCACCTCCCAGTCCCTAATATCCATCAGGGCCCCGATATCTGTTGCCTTCGCCTTCTCTATCGCCCTCAACATTCCCTCCTCTGTAGCTTTTTCATGGACACGTCGACGCGGAGTCACCGTCCCGTCGGCTCGGCCGACCTTGCGATGCTTGGCTTAACGCTACGGCTCTCTTCGTCAGTCCGCTCGAAGTGAAGCCATGCTACTTTGTCTCCTCGTGCTTCTTCCCTATGCCGATGTGATTCTTCCCCATGCCTGATGCCAGCCTTCTCGCGATGTTGTCGATACTGATCCAATCTCCATGCTCTCATGTGTGTTCCACCCATCGAGGCCCGTGACCTCAATTGGGACGGGGACAGGGACGAGAGAAAATAATCCCCGAGACGGAGAACGGGGACGGGTAGCGGGGAAAAGTTAGACGATCAGGGACGGGGATAGGGTACTGATCCACGGCAGGAATGTCCCTGTTGCCATCCCTAGCTCCGAGATCTTTGTATCCTCACTTTATTAAGAAACAGTCAATTAACATCTCTAACGTCACCTCCCGCTTACTTGTCTCTCTCACCCAACTTTTCAACTTTATTTCTCCATGGCTAGAAAATCATACCATCTCTCTTCCTCTTGCTCACATGATCACTGTGGCATTCCTCTCCCACGCACATATCCCATACGCCTTTCGTGTTCAACCTCCAGTCCACAGTGCGTGTACCCAAAGAGGAAAACCATCAACCCAACAACCACTGACACAAGCTCCAACCAGATTCATCCCTCCTAGCTTGCTGCCTGCTTTAGCTTCACACACTGCCATTCCGTCAAGGAATCAGCGAGACAGTGACTCATTTGTTGCCTCCTTAAACCATCACTAGTCCACTAGCAAGGCATGAATGGTTCCTCTCCCCTGCACCTCTATTCTAATCCACGGGTTAATGAGTGCACTTAACCACCACTACTCTAGCTACGGTGGCAGGGGGTACCTGCGGCCACGCGTACGCTTATCCGGTGCCACTGCCACGCCGCAGCCCTCTCACTCCCAAAACGTGCGCGCGCGCGCAGAATGGCATCGCCCTCCTCCACTCGGCCGGCCCTGCTCCAAATCTATAAAAGGCGGCCATCGGCCACCATTTCTGTGCCAAGATCCAGCGTCCAGAGTTCTCGATCAAAAGCGCAAGCGCAAGCGTAAGCGTAAGCAGCCGACTGCCTTGCCAAGGACGGTGACCTGTCGCGTCCGCGCTCGCTCACTCGAGCGATCCGATCCCCAGCTCCGGCCTGCTCCAGCCAGCCGTCAGGGAACGCGCGCGCGCAGCAATGGCCTTTTACTACGGTGTGAGCGGAGGACAGCCGTCGTCGGGGGCGGCATGGGGGGCGCCGGCGGGCACCAGGCCGTGGACCAAGGCGGAGGACAAGGTGTTCGAGGGCGCGCTGGTGATGTTCCCGGAGCACTTGCCGAACCGGTGGGCGCTGGTGGCGTCGCGGCTGCATGACCGCACGCCGCAGGAGGCCTGGGATCACTACCAGGCGCTGGTCACCGACGTCGACCTCATCGAGCGCGGCATGGTCGAGGCCCCAGACTCCTGGGACGACGACGCGGCCGCCGGAGAGGGCCGCGCCGGCCGCGGCCGCGGGGGTGGCAGCGGAGAGGAGCGCCGCCGCGGGGTGCCGTGGACCGAGGACGAGCACAGGTACGCCGTAGGCGCCACGCGCGCCGCAATCCCTCCGTCAAACTCTGTCGCGCCGCAATCCTATTTTTGTCCTTTTCCCCACCCTGTCATTCGACGTGCGTTCTACGAGGTCCTGGATACTTCCAAGGATCTTTCTTTCCACGCCGGATTCCACTCCTGGCCCACCAGACCTTTCTCTCTTCACTTGCTAGTATCACCGACACGCGGGCCCTGCTAAACTAATTTCGTGTTCTATCACGCAGGCTGTTTCTGGAGGGGCTGGAGAAGTACGGGCGCGGCGACTGGCGGAACATCTCGCGGTGGTCGGTGAAGACGCGGACGCCGACGCAGGTGGCCAGCCACGCGCAGAAGTACTTCATCCGCCAGGCCAGCGCCGCCAGCCGCGGCGACAGCAAGCGCAAGAGCATCCACGACATCACCGCCCCGTGATGGCTCGTGGTCGTGGAGGACAAGACAAGCGGCGAGATCTGCAGTGCTGCCTGCATTTATCCTGTTAGCTTCTACCTTTGCGAGACGGAAAAAACAGCCGTCCCTGTGGTTGTATGTAGAAATGTAGGCAAAATTAAGCTGCCTTGGCTGGAATCTAGCGTCGCCGGAACTTGTATTAAGCGGTATTAGTATGATGATGGAATAAACTTTGCCTGTGTGTGTCTGGATTTTCATAGTCCAGCGCTTGGTTATTATCCCGATTTTGACATTACATTACATGATCCAATAAACAGAGGATGGAAGAATTTGACCAGGCCAGCTAGCCAGAGACGTTAGCCACGACTACTCATGGTGATGGTAAGCATGAATTTCCACCAAAATCTTATCGGGCGCGCGTGCGCCGCTAACTGAAGCAGCGCACACATCGCCAGAACTAAGGAAGAAAGGGGCGGCGGTGGGGACAGGGGAAGGGGCAGGAACGGCCAACGAGCAGGTTGCCGTGGCTAGGGCGGTGGTCAAGGCAGAGGCAGCGGCGGCGGTTAGGGTTTTAGTATTTGCGACCATCCATGGTTGGCGCCCTTAGAAGGAAGGGTCCGGGGGGCGACCGGCTAGGCGGTGGTGGCGGGTTGAGGGGCGGTGAGCGAGGCGGCGGCGGCGACGCTGAGCGGGAGGAGGAAGACAACCGGTTGCACAGTGGGGGCTAGGAGTCACCAGTGAACTTTTGGATTGGGATTAGGGCAGGACAGGTTCATACGGCGGGGGTGGTAGGTGGGGGGCAGCCTAGGCGACAGTCGAGGTAGCAGGCGGGAGGAGGAAGATAGGTACGGAGGGAGGGAGAGAGAGAGAGAGAGAGAGAGAGAGAGAGAGAGAGAGAAAAAAACGTGCGTCGCTATCCCTACTGGCGTGCGCACGTCAAGGATGAGGGTTGGAATTTCCTTGTGGCATGCTCACCCTCACCGGTTTGATGGACTGTAACTGGTTCTTTTGTTGTTCAATGGGGTCTATGCGACAATATCAATTTTAGCTTCCATGAACTACTTACCCATCATGTACTTTAGTTAGTTATGTGGTCCTACGTGTGTACCCCAGAAATACATGCCATATGACAATCATATATTAGGAATAGCTGGAATGTCGTGGCTAAACATATGACTATATACACACAACATGGTTTAGAATATGCCGAGCGATAGCTTGCAATGTATGGTTAACTTCGAAGACCAGCTACACAATTTTGGCAAGTTGTTGCTAGCATCGGGATCAGCTTTGTGACATATACTAACAAGGAAGTGACACAACTTGATGTGGTTACTCTTTTCACATGACTAGTGGTGAAAACAAATCTTTTGACCAACAAGTGTAGTTCAAATTTAGAATTTGTGAGCTTGTTTGTAGAAAGTTTGTCATGGTTGGGGGTGCTTTGTGCTTCCATTCCATTACATGGAGGAACTAACTTTTTACTGGGATTTGATACACTTGTTACTAATTTGACTAACATGCAAACCACAGATACACTCCTTTAGTTGGCATCACTGGTATGCGCTACAATCCCAGGTCATATTACATGGCAATGTTTGTTAGAAATAGCCCGACAACATGGTGCATCATTGAATCACTATCATGTCTAAATTTGCAGGATTAGTAGACTTCTATGTGCACGTAAATGACATGTGGTTAGAATTTGACAAGGCATGCCACATCAAAAGTAACACTTAGACCAACCTCCTTCCTTAGCGCACTCTTTCTAGCAGCAAAAGTTTCTTTAGCGTGCACGTTGTCTCTAATAACCAGAAAACATCACAAGCCACCTCACATAGTTATTTTGTTTTGGCACGTACCATGCCAAAAACAAGTCATGTCCATTTGGTCAATGCAGTTTAGACCCTTTAGATCGATCTACATCTTCTTATTAAATCCGTCATGTAACCTACGTGGCTGGCAATGTGGCACGTCATAATAAGGTTATAGTCATGGATAAACTTATGGGAGTATGTTGTGCATGTCTTTTTCTAGGGCTCATGATTTACCAAGCTATCACTCATTAGATTACCACCGTACCATATATGAGCCAGCGAATTTGGTGCACTTGTCAGTGTTCAAAGTAAGCATAATCTTGATAAAAATAATATGAAATGACAAAGTGAATTTGGCATGTCTATTTTGATGGACAAGTGGCTTGTAACATTGGATCAGTTAGAAGCTTATTCTGAACTTCTTATCTAGGTACTCTTTAGACCTCTGTGCTCATATTTTGGATGTGTCAATGCCAACCAACACCAAGTCTGAACTAACGTTGTCATTGGTTCTTCTATTGTTAAAATTGGCTCTACTGTGATGGCATCAATTTTAGGTTTCATAAACTGCTCTTCATATACTTACACTGCGGTCCTATGTGTCTGCACCAGATATGTATATATATGGCATGCCTAAACTTGTGGTAGTAAACTATACATATATGCCAAGCGAAAACTTATCAGGTTAACTTTGGATATCGGCTATTTATTCGCCACACTCTCTCCTACAACCAAAATTAGACCGGCTTTCTTATATAGGAGTAACAAGGATGTGGTTACTCCTTTTGGCACATCAAACATTTTGCAACTGATAAGTGCAGCTTAAATTAAGAATAAAAAAACTTCTGTATAGCAAGTTTGTCATGTAAATGTGCTTTGCACTTCTATTATGCTATCTTTTGCAAGTAAAACATATAATGTAGTGGGAGCTGATAATTGTAGCTTAAAAGGGATTATATATTCATGATTGAGGACCTTACATTTTATTGAGATATAACACACTTGTTCTAGATTTGACACACTTGACAAACCATGGCTACACTCCTAAAGTTGGCATCATCTACAGGCGCTACAATCCCATGTCTTATGCAATCAAAAGATATGTTAGAATATTATGAAATGATGCATTATTAGATCACAATCATTTCTAAACTTGTCGGGATAGTGGACTACTATGCACAATTGATTGGCATATGGTTAGAATCATCCCAAGGCGTGGCACATAAAAAATAACACTAATAACTACCTTCTTTGGTACACTCCTTTTTAGCACTTAAAGTTTGCTTAGCTTGCACATAGTGTCTAACTGGGAAATGACACAAGCAAGCTCACACAATGATTGTGTTTTGGCATGCCCCGTGGCAGATGTAGTTGGCCATATGTTATATGTAGCTTGGACCTTTGGATGGATCCACATATTGTTGGTAATCTTGTCATGCGATCTATGTGGCCAGTATAGGATCATAGTTATGGACAAACTTGTGGGAGTATGTTGTGCATGCCTTGTCACAGAACTCAGAACCTGCCAAGTGATTACTCATCAAATTACTGCCATACATTAGCCACCTAATTTGGCACACACTACTAGTGTTTAAAGCCACGTAATCATACTAAAAATAATAGGTCGTGCAAATTTTGGCATGTTTAGTGTTGTGAATAAGATGTGACAGACAAGTGTAGCTTGTAACATTGGATATGTTTGATGCTTATGTTGAACCATCAAATATCTGAAGTCTCTAAATATCGATGTTGTTGTCGCCATACAATCTTATCCAAAGCAAATATGAGTATTACTAAAAAGACAATCATTACTATGAACCTTATTTGAAACATTGTCTAGGTGCAAGAAATTTAGCAAAAATATATTTTTATTCAATGTGTATTCTTTATATGGATGCCACAAAATTGTTCTTTATTTTGTAGACTTGAACACTACTATGTTTAGATTCATGGGTTTGACATCATGATATGGTGACAGATGTGAATATGAAACTCCATATCACACGTAGGATCCACGTGTTTCTGTAGCCCCTGGACATTGTTCACGTATGACACCACTCGCTTGCTGCCACATGGCGGTGTCATTCTGGGTGATGGTGGCTACGTTGATGGGCTCCAGGGATGTCATCTTCGTTGTGCCAGGCGGGCGCATTTTCCGTGTCCGTTTTGTCGTTTCTCTCTTTTCTCATCTTCCTTTCCCTCCCCTTTTCCTCGACCCCTCTGCTGGTTGCCTTCACATCTCTGTTGAGCGTCGCCTCCTTGGACGGCGACACCGCCATCAACCCACCACCCATGAGGGCGTTGTTGTAGTTGCGCGTCATGTTGGAGCAGGCCGAGACTCAGGTGCTCACCGTCCTCTCCCCTTTCCCATGCTTCATAATCCCCGCCCTTCCCTTCTCCACCCCCACGTTGGTCGCCCTCTAGCGAAGATCTCAGACCTGGTTCTACCTCCGTCATGTCCTCCTTTGCCTCGCAACCAAACTACACTCCCGACTTTGCTGCTACCAAAATGAGTCCATCAAGATTCAAACAATTTTAGATTGCCTGCATAATATAGAGCATGACTTTAGAAAAAAAAATTGAAACTAGTTTCATAATTTTCCGAGGTAAAACAATTTTTCTATGATTTTCTTAAAATTAAATCAGATTTAGGATTTTAAATTACAATATTTTTTTCATGTAAAAATATTTGGATTTTTTTTATTTTTTTATTTTTATGAGTTTATGATATTTTTTGAAAAATATTTTTACTCCGATTTACCTCCCTTCAGCTTAGTCTAATTTATTCTCTCTGATGTGGTGGCACGTCAGCAAAAACAAAAATCAAAACCATCCAAAGTGCAAAATAAACGGTTTTAAAAGTTAAGAAGAGATAAACTAGATTTTTTGGGCCACGATCCCACGGCCCGGCCCATAGAGTTCGCGAGCTTGTGCTGAGAGAGGGGGGCTCGTTCACACGCTGTGTCAGTTGTGGGCTCTAAACGTCTCGTGCCTCGCGGCCTCGAAGGCTCGAACGCACTACTAGTCCACCACCTCGGCCTTGCTTTGCAGCCCAAGTCGGGCGCGGCCACTACGTACGAGAAGAAATCCCTCTCTCCGTATCTCTGAATCTGAAAACTTGATTTGCGTACTCTCCTGCTTGGGTTGTTCGTCCTACGGCTTGCACAGCAGAACGCCGCCACCTTTCTTTGGCCGCATGCAGTTCCC